GAATCAACGAGTTGTGGGCCAAATATACGGCATTGCGAAATTTGACTCAACTTGGCTCTGAGAGAATATATCATTCTCAGGATCACGGAGGACACCGAGGACTAATGTTCAGTCTTTATCTTTCATTATCTCTCTTTTTTTTGCATCAATTTTTAATTACGTATGCAGCTATCTAGCTTTGACACGATACTAGAGGAGTGTATAACAGATGACTCAATTTAAAAGAAAAGCATCCATGCCTCAGTTTTTATTTGCAAGTACCACTGGGAAGTTATGGCGGCTTTTTCATCACACCATGTCAACCCTCATCCGTGAATACCCACCCAGGGGAACGTCTCAAAAACCCCGAGTTATCCAGACATGCCTCCGTCATCTTTCAAATTTTCTCTGCGCGAAATGTGATCTGAGATGTCTCCTGCCCAAGTGAAGAAGGTGCCTAGGCTACTCAGACTATACCGGAGAACACCACCAGGAGGCGGATCACGACACCTTCCATTGTTTGCTCATTTTATTATTTCTCTTCATATTATTATGTAGAGCATGCACATCTAATTTATCTTCATGCTTAAGACACAAATACCAATGTTATTTTAGCCCATCTTATACTAACTTTACAGCCCCCTTGTAATAGCACCGCATTGCGTACAATTTTGTTTGATGATGTCTTTCGTCCTTCATTATTGCCAATGCAATCAACATTACGGAGATATTAAGATAGACTGAAGCTGTAAACATAGCTACTCTTCTCAAGTATCCCAAGAAGCCCACTAGCTATAAGCTGTAAGCTTGTGTAAATCTAAAATAATTCCTCTCTGCCTTCCGCGGATTCTTTCAGTACCATCCTTCGCTCGTTCCATGGTAAAAATTGAATCTAGTTCGACGATGAGTTTGTCCGGTAAAGGAGTCCAGACAACTTATTCTACCTCGAGTCATGGATAAATCCCAAGATCAATTGAAAATAGTAAGCCTCGCGGCTAGCAATCGAATCAATTGAAGCATGCAATAAATAGAACAAAAAATATTGGGCAGATATATGGAACAACAAAGATGGGAAAGATTATTTAAGGGAGTTTGATTACTTAGTGTTAATGTTAGATAAATTGTCATAGCTAAATAGCTGAATAAAAAATGAATTAAAAAAAAAAAGAATCAATTGAAGCTCTATACAGTCTATTATGAAAGTTAACTTTCACAATAGACACGTGTAAACTGCACAAATCTTCATCCTCCTGCCACTATCACATAGTTCTTGCACAAGGACGAAAGCGCCATACTTTCCATTACAAGTTGGTTATTTGAATGGATCTTAATTTCTCGACACAAGAGGACCCACACTTCCATTTGTTCATTCAATTCGTATTCTTTGCTTGTCCTCACATTCAAAACTTTCCGTAATCGGGCAGCGAGGCTTGCGAGTAAGTGAGCGATTGCCGTCAATGCCATAGTGCGGGGACATAATTCTCCCGTTTGTCCAATAAAGAAAGCCTATTGCAAAATTTGTTTTTCTCACCTAAAACATTTCAATCCAGATTGAATGTTATGACAACAAAATATTCTCGCAACGTCTAACTACAGCTTTCGAATATTCAATCTCTTGAAGGGACATCATTGAAGTCGACTCGCTCCTCTCGTGAAGAGATATGCAAGATGTCAAAAAACTAAAATTGCGCCAAAATAATTTTATGAACCCTCAAATGCCAGAGACCTTGTTTCTGCTCACAGACATCGTATTTTTCATCTAGCTGGGTCATGAGATTAACCAAATGTGGGATTCTTAGATATTATGAAGGCTCGATGGCAACTTAAATGGTCATATTAAAGGTGGCGGCGAAATTTACGCCAGGAAGATATACATATTCAGTGAAGTAGTACAAAGGTAGAAGTCGCCTTCCATTGCCGGAATAAAACTAGTTATGTGGACTGACAGAGCCGCGAAAATCATAAAGCTTCGATGAGAACAACCGACGTGGCAAATGAGACACTCAAACCAATATTGAGGCACTCTAGTGTTATTAGAAAGCTCATCGTAGGCCACTTTGCCTCAACAACACATGAATTGTGAGCAAAATTTACGAGAGCATGGCGCCGTGTATACTCCATATTAATGGAGTGAATTTGATTACGACAAGAAAAAAATCCCACCAAGATCTCGAAAAGGCAGTCCAAAACTTTGCTTGGTTAAGTCACTCTCCGTGCAGCTCTGATCTGTAACGAGCTATGGCTGAGTTATAGTTTACTCTAGATTAAATAAGACAGATTCGACACAATGCATGTCAAATAATGTGCATAATTGAAAAAAAGCTTATCTAATTTCTATGAAAGTTCAATTTTCTTTTATCATCCAGGTTTTAGGTCAAGTGTATTTCAATACACTCTATTTTAATTATAGCCCGAAATAGGATTGCTCTTGATCTTTTGCGGACCACCACGCAAAAAACGGATTAAAGAGTATTTTCCGAAACCAATATCCAAAGATAAATGCCTGAAAGTCACAATGATTCAAATGAAAAAAATCAAAATATTAAGTGAAAACAGGGATATTTTCATCATGACTTATCAGATAAGATATAATACATAGGAGTATCTTTAACAAGTACCATTTCCAAATAATAAAGTTGCATCTTCTTTGAGTAAATACAAAACTCGATATAAGTATGCCGACTAGAAAAACTCAACCTATTTCATGTAATACAAAATATAGGTTAAATAATATGAAATAAAGAATATTCAATACCTTTCTCGCTCCTATGAATCATTAGATGTCGTGGTAAATTCACTAAGATGGAAGTTTCTGCTCAGAAATGACTTGAAAAAGTGGCTATTTTCACCGCAACTATGTATCAAAAAAGCTATAATGCGTACTCATAGTTAAATTTGGACTAGCGAAATATTGATCTTTTCATTCGTGTATTTCCCGATTTATGAATTCATCAACCATGGAGACTTGTCGCCAGTTCTTGTGAAAAATTTATATCGAAATTTACGACGATATCTGGGCCTCAACTGAATATTAATCGGAGTTTGCACCAGTGAATTTATGGCGAGACATCCATTCCAAATTTTCGCGACATGATATAAAATTTGATATTAAAATATCAAATTGTTTCCTAAATTTTGTTATATGTAACATTATTTACAGAGTAGATTCACTTGATCTCTCACTGAAATTGAGATATTAATATTCAGGATATTTTGTATAAAAAGCATTTCAGGCTCTAATAAACATTCTTAACCCAACTTTCGTCTCCAAAAAACTTTCCAAATATCAAACCACATCATTAAGAAAAACCGAGATTTCTTTAAATTGATAATCGCCCAACTTTGGTTTACAGACTTGTGACTCCATCTTTTGATCATTAAGTTGAGCAGAAGGATGATTCTGAGCTACTTTTTTCATGTTTTACTAGTTATGGAACATATGTAACTGTTACGGAATCCATTCTTACAAGAATTCCACGCACAATCTGAAGAAAAAGATTTCCATGATATACTTCTCTTGGAAATTACTGGTCGGATTGTGTCTTCATATTGACCACAGCTACCTAGTGTCTACATTCCTTATATCGGGAGTTTTTATTATTTAAACAAACAGTCTGGGTTAAAATTTATTATGATATCTTCTCTAGACCTACTATAGAATCACCATACCAATGTTAGTTGTTTCTTGTAACAACTTACACTAAAATCCTTTGTCCCGATGGCGAGGAGATTCGCGCCAATTATTTTGGCACTAGAAAGCTCTTAATAATCATTGAAAATCGAAGTCATTCAGCTTGAATTTTTTCCAGTGATATTCTATGAAGGGAATTAGTTGCCTTAAAGATGTCTTCCACTGTAGCTTATCTTTGAATACCATCGCATTTGTGTCATTAAATGCAATCGGTGAGAAAATTTTGTGCTATAGAGAAGACTACCAATAATGACTTTCATGTGGTTACGATTAAACTAGAGCTCTATTAGTCGTGCCTTCCGCACTAAGAATGAATTCTAGCCAGTAAATTACATGCCCGCTACAAATTTTACAATTCGAATCCGATTATATTCTTTATGATACAATTCCAACAACATCTCTCGTGAACACAAAAATTAAGGCGGACAATCTAGAAAGGACTTCTAGAAGGTGAAGAGTTTTCATGGGCTACAAGATCAAATTCAAGTCGGGATTTGAATATGAGCCTTTGGATATAAAATGGAGATTCACACGGATCATAACTGTAAAGATGGACCATCACTAAAGAAAACGCTTTACTACCGCGACGAAATTGTTCAAATTTTCGCCCTAAATTGTGCGGCTCATCATTCCTTTGAACGCACATGCCTTGAGGCAATATATAATAATTCCGCGCCACTTATAAATGAGGCTGACATAAATGAATCACAAGTTATCTCAATCCCGATCTGTCTTGATTATATATCTTTGACTCAGGCTAATACTTATTTAGGCAGCTCAAATTTTCTACCCAATACTATGGATAGGAGTATGGAACGAATAATACTATGTCGGTCTGGTACCCTTTTAAATACGAGTGGCAACAAGTAGAGATCTAGCTATAATAAAGGACTCTATTCTCCAGTCTTCAACCTCATAGAATACCTCACGACACTTCATTATTTTTCTCATCTCGAGCTTGCTTTTGGTCTAATTATTCGCTTCCATTATACCCGCACATTTAAGTAATACAGGAGTTTGAAAAACTAAGTGTAGACTTCTTTTATTTTTATCTGAGCTATAATTAACTGTAAGTTTTGTTGATTTGTTTTCTGACGAGAATCGAACGATTATTTTCTTCTTTTTTCTATCTAGGACCCTTTAAATTTTCTACGCCATCTGTATTTTTTCCATGCAGGAGTTGGACTATTAGGCCTTGATCAAAATCATGATTCGATTATCTCGTCATTCTATGGCAAAGCCACATGTTGAAATGCAGTGGATCTCTTGAGCAGCTCAAGAAGTGTTATTTGTACTAATTGTTTCGAAAGGATATTCTATATTTTGCAACATGAGCACCATAGAAGATAAAAGACACAAATGCTCGGTAAGCATCAATGATAAATCGAAGTGAATGACTGACAAGACAAGGTTCCTTTTCTCCTCAACTCACAGATTATGAGAGGAAGTGTGCAGCCTAGTGCGGCTGTCATGCGACCTTCGGAGATGAAGAATATTAGCGGAAATTCTTCATCAATTATCCAGCCACAAAATTCTGGCCCGCATCTTAAGAAATCAAACGACGTATTTAAAAAGCCTCCAGATATTTCTGATCGTAGCTCATGGTCTGAGGAGGAAGAAGCGGCGATGATTCTGATGCGGATGAAACTCGATGATTCCTCGAGTTACGCGAAGGAGACGTCGGAAGGTTCAGGACATTCTCGACCTCAGTGTAAAAGAAGGAAGAGGAAAAAAGCATTTTCACGGGCAAAACGTCGGGGTAACTCCAAACCTCCTAAATCAACTTATGTAGGAAAGCTTCGGAGACGTTAATCGCCCTCAAACGTATAGTCTGTTTTTTGGAATGATGGGTACTAGTTACGGCCTCGCCTCAACCTGGCCCTATATACAATAGCGTGAGTACATGTGGTACGTGCACGTTAGCATATAGTCCCTGTCCGCCTCTAGATACTCTCTCCTCATAGCCAATCTACTTCTTTCATCTCTACATTAGAGCTGCCCTCCTGCCACTTCCTCTTCTCGTGATTGTACTTGATAGAATTTATTTTTAAATTTGCTATAAGATTAAGATAGTTAAGACCTGACTACCATAAATCGACTATCAAGTTTTATTGTGGTTAAGGTGAGAACTTACGGAAATTTTGTTGGCAGAAAGTTTAGGGATGATTAACATTCAGAACTATGAGGATTTAGGAAGTAGAGGATGCCTCTCATGTACACATCTGAGATAGCTAGACTCTCATCTTATTTTCCCAAAACAGTAGCACTGAATATTCTAGTATCCTTCATCTGGTAGTATGATATTGAAACACTTTCTATACAATGCTCCGTTGTTCTTCTACTCATCACGGAATCACCTGAAAATCTTTTCCTTCACATTCAGTGATCACTACCCTGGTGCATCGTAATCCTGGGTATCAACAGTGCAACAGGGTCAAAGATGGAGGGTAAAGACCGAATACCTATACGCGGTGTTCTATTCAAGTCTGGGAATGAAGTATACTCCTAGAGCCAATTCCAGTCAACTTTCACAAAACCGACCAAGTTGGACCACGAGGCAATAATTCCATAATCCTAATCAATTCAATATCACACTCCCAACAAAGTTGATTCCGACCAAAGCCTCATTGAGTCCACAAGTATGACCTATTATATTCTTACTTCAATGACCATACCTCTTGTCAAACTAGTCTCTGGCTTCAAGTGACCTTCACATGCACGCCCACAAGAATATGGATACCTGCCGGAGGACACAAATTTTGTTGGACAAATCTGGGAGGCAATTTTATAAGGATGGACAAGCTGACAAGATTTTGCTAACGTTGGACACAATCACGACAGGCGTGAAATTTTGACAAGGAGCTTTATCTCAAGGAGCTTACTACTAACGTTCCGTAGAGCACGAAAGGATATCGAGTTCGATTACAGGACAGCACTGAAGTGGTACAAAATGTGTACCAAATGTAAGATGACATTGCGTGAAGAGAGAACTATACCACGCCAACTAGACTAACTGCAGGCTATTATCACTAGCGCTTTAGCACGGGAAGCGATGTGGTCGTTACATGTTTACTACCAGACCACCTTTACATTTCTAGACCCGTGCATTCACACTCACTGCCTAGCTTACCAATATCAAGCACTGACCTAATAGCCTACCGTCACATGGACTGCGCCGAAAATAAAACAAATTAATTATCCCCTACTGCTTATCTATAAAATTTTACAAAGTGACCTTTGTGCAATAATACTTCAGCTGCAAGTATGCGGGCGACACTATAATCACCGCCATGGCTGGATGGTGCGGTGTTTCATCATATGGACCGGTCTCCTGAGTAGAATCTTGATAGTTTAATACACAGTTTATTGTTTTTAAAAAAATGAGGTCAAAAATGATGAGTTCAATAGGTAAAAACAGTAAAAAATTAAGATTAATGATTTACAACATTTCTATGTCTCACTGTCGCCGGCAAAGAAGAATTCGTCACCCTCAGTGGGTAGGTATAATCGCTCAGTATACTCTCCATATCTGGTATATCTAAGAAGAATCGTATCCGAATCGAAGTTGGAAGTAGAATCGAGCATATCGACAATTGTCGACTTCTCAACTTTATCGGTCTCACCATTCTCATCTGAGTCCCCAACCTCTCTTAAAGCACATATCGTCTCGCCTCAACGACCGATGTAGGAGTTGATCCAATTGCTTACGGAAGCTTGCCTCATTAATTACCAAACTTCACCCACTACTAATTTACGACGCTACGTATATCCGTAAGGAGGAAATAAAGTTATAACTTACAAATCTCGGATCTTGCTCCATGAGGATCCACTGCTTTAATAGGGCTTCATATCTTGAGGTGGGATAGGCAGCTGTGACTTAGGACGTGGGACGAGCGAGTGAAGTGGTCTCAAATCGGCATACTAGGACTTACGTTTTTCGAATGCTTTCAACTTAAGGGTATCTGTGGGTATAGAGGCAACAAATTTGGATGGTGCTACCGATACTATAAAAACAGGTAACGATAGAAGGTGCTTTGGTCCGCCTCCTGGTCGTCATCTCCCCGAGTCAAAATCTGGGTAGCCTGGACACCTAGCTCACTCTAAAAAGGAGGACTGTAAGACCATATCTCGCACGGTGGCTATAGACAAGATGGCAAATTGTTATGATGTGAAATCACTCAGCCAATTACACAAGCTGTATTAGATGATATAGAGATCTATACAAGATGTGGTTGGTGAATTGACATCATAACAGTTGCATGTAGATGGTGTGAACAAGAATGTAAACCATTCTATAGCATATGATAGAATATCTTACATCACAAGATGGAATATTCTACTAGCAATTAGATAGATGAGCTTTAGGTATAAATAGGAGTATTCTCCTTCATGTAGATAGCAATCATCAGGAAACGAATCTAATAAAGCGAACACATATCATCGTCCACTTCATAATAGTGTCAAGCACATATTGATAAAGCCACTGTTTATATGCAATTCCCCTTCTCATAATCGTAATACAAAGCCATATTAGGGTAGCCAAAAGTTTTTCCTATTTTCCCTGTAGTGGGTATTGTTAGAAATTAAGATTCTATGTGTCTAAAGTTTTCCTATGATTGGAACAACTAAGATTCTCTCGATTCATATCCATATTATTCTATCCATAAATCGCGCCCATATTCTTTGAGCCGCCTCACTCATCGAGCCCATACCGATTTTCAAGTAGGTATTCATGGTCGAGCGAAGGGTGATAGTCTCTAGCACAATGGTCTCGACTGGTATTAGCGAATGAATCCAGTAAATGAGTGGCCTAAATTTCATACTGAGATAATGCCGTGCATAATTATTGGGAAAGAGCTAGGCCTCTTCGTATCATGCTCTATCGATATTTGGCTTGTGTCTATCACGAATAAAGATCTATTCATTCATTTCATTTATGTGATAGATATTGTCATGTGATATATTTATTTATTTATGTCGGAAAGTAGTTCATTTTGCTCTGCACTAAGCGTAGTGTATCTCTCAGTTACTGAGTCATTATCTTGATGACTGATGTGCAAGAAGCATGACTGTTACATTAAGTGTTGTTAACTACTTATAAATAAAGGTTCTGACGTGATATATTGAGCACCTATTACACCCCCCCCCCCATAAACTAATCATTTTAGATCTAAATTAAGTTGATGACAGAACGTTGTGTGCTTTATGCGTTGTATTGCTTTAGTAAGTCCATCAGCCTTGTACAGATCCGTTGGTGTATATTTCAATTTGATAATACTACCTTGAACTGACTCTCGGACAGTTGACTGTAGCATAAGAGAATACCGATTACGGGCTGATATTTTCTCATAGTTAGCTGTTATCATGGTAGATGTGTTGTAAATTTCAGTAATGATTATTGTAATTTGTTTGCTAGACCTAGCGGTGTAGCTTATCACAGTTAGAGAGTATATTCTGGAATGCAGTGGTTGCTTGTTACAGATGCGATTGCGACAATACATTTTGAGGGTTGTATGAAAATTTTGGCACTCCTATGGGTCTCAATTGTGTTGAGGTTGATTTAATTATTGATGATAATTGCTTGTTATGTCTATCTACAGAGAATGTACTACAGTTCTACATGTGCCCGTAATCGCTTAGATTTGGCTAGTGGGCTGTTCCTATTTTACTTCAGACGTCGATATGTATCGGATGGCACTTTGGGCAAAGTCGCGGCCCACACCCGCTGCTCCACCACTCAAAACTTCCAACGGCTATGTATCGGACCCAGGAAAGCGAGCACTTCTGTTGCGTGACCTTCTTCTCGGGCGGTTCGCCAGCCAAAACGATATCGACGCCGATCACCTCGAGCCCGGCCGCGGAAACCTTCCATGGCTCACAAGCGTTACGGACGAAGAAGCCAAGTGGGTCACAACAGCCTGCCAAAATAAAGCCCCCGGATTAGACACAGTTTCCGTCCGTCTCCTTAGGACAGCCTGGCCATCAATTGGACACGCAGTGAGAGTAATTTTTGGGGGCTCACTGCGACTAAATCACTTTCCAAAAGCATTCAAGCTAGCGGAAGTAATCCTCCCCAAACCCGGCCGTGATCTGAGCACAGCTAAAGGATGGAGGCCCATCGCTCTACTCTCCTCCCTAGGAAAAGGTCTCGAGAGACTGGTTGCAAAGAGAATGGCTCACACCGCCCTCTCTTATAAGGCAGTTCCGCAGCAACTCTTTGGAGCACTCTCTGGCAGATCTGCTAACGACCTCGTCTCCTGTGTCATCCATGACGTTGAACATGCAATGAAAAGACAGAAGAAAGCGATTCTTGTAACTCTGGACGTGCAGGGGGCTTTCGACGCTGTACTTCACGGACGCCTGCTCCTAAGGATGAAGGAATGGGCTGGCCTGATGCATCTATCTACTGGATAAAATCCTTTCTCCAAGGACGATCTGCCCGCGTCAGGCACGAGGACGGAGTGACAGGTCCGGTATTGCTTGAATGCGGTGTCCCACAAGGATTGCCGCTCTCCCCAATACTTTTCCTCCTGTATATGGCTGAAGTCGTGGGGGGCAGCAGTTGGAGATTTGGCTATGCAGATGATATTGCTATCCACGGCATCGGCTCAAACCCAAATGAAGCTGCTGTAGCCGTCCAGCGAGAGGTCGATGCAGTTCTCAGGTGGGCTGCTAATAACGCCGTCTCCTTTGACCAAGATAAGGCCGAAGTAGTCTGCTTTCTGGGCCCAAAAGCCAGGGGACACGAACTTCCACCTATAAGGGTAGGTACTCGCGACGTACAAGTATCTGACGATATTCGGTGGCTCAGA